GGCCAAAATCTATTTTTGACACTCCCGTAGGGGAGTACGGATGTGAGTCGAAAAATCGATTGAAAGATATTCCAAAATAAATCTTTGAAATATCATCAGGGGCCTCCATTGACTTGTTTTTAATACAAAAAACCGAAATATTTTGGGGGCGGAAAAACCGCCTTAACGCCACTTGTCGTTTATGTTAACTTCCTTTTTTTTTTTTTTTTAGGTAATTATGCAAATGGTTTTGTAATTAAAAATGATAAATTAGATTTTGATCGAGATCGTTTTCTTGAACCATATCTTGGATCTCATGTGCATACATTTATGTCTACTATTGCTCATACACAAGTGTTTGAACAAGTGAGACAAATGAATGCTTGAAAAATTCGAAAGAGATTTTTTAATTTTTAGTTTTCACGATATCGAACTTATGCACAACTTCAACGTGAAATTGATGTCGATGAATTTGATCTTGAAGTTGATAATTTACAAAAACTTCAACAATCAAAAAAAGTAAATAGAATACAAAAATAGAAAATGTTTTTACTGATCAACTTTAGCCTTTTCAATTTTGGACACGAGAGATTTTTTTAAAAGCAAGTAGAATATGCATGTACCCTAAGAATTCCTTTTACCTGCAAGTGTTTACCTGTACATATTACAAAGTGAAAGATTACGTTTGGATGTTTTCTTATGAGTTTTTCAAATTTGAATATGACTTTTCGAACTTATGTTTTTTTCATTTAAGAAAAATTATATTATAATTACAAAGAATTGAAAAGTATATCAGACATTATCATTGATTTAAGTGTTGTATTTGGCTAATCATATATTAACAAAATACTACTAATGAGAGAAGATGTCAACTTGATTAATCACTTTATAGTCAGAACTATGTATGTACCATTCATCTAATTGCATTGGATAAATAACATATTTCAAGTACGAGTAGTTGATGCATAAATAAATATTTGATAAGTTGCACAGCTTTCAATTTTCATCTGATTTTTTAGTTGAAAAACCAAAAACTTTCCAACATAAAAATGTGTTTACTTTTTGTGTACTCAAAAAGTGAGTACACTCTAGAATCGGTCAGTGTGTCCGTCCGTCCGTCCGTCCGTTTACACGATAACTTTTGAAAGGAGAGTCCAATCACGATGAAATTTTCCACA